TTTTTTTATTTATTATAAATTCTATTAATTATTTTCGTTATTATTATTGCAAAACTTATTCAATTTATACAATTTTGCAATTTTATTTGCAAGAAAAAAATATATGAGAACCTGGCATGAAAGAGATGGCGCTTCTTAAATCGAGTCGCGTTGAAAGACGACTGTAAGTGAGAGTAGGTCGAAAATTATTTGTATCGCAAAACTAACGTCATATTCGGTTTTCTCGTACAACGTACAACGTGGAAGCTACCCACAACAACCATGCTCAAAATGGCCTGATTCGAGTTCTCTGACCTCAGAAACGCCCAGAAAACATGTTTTTGAGATGTCGTAAATTTTTATCCATTGCAATACTTTCCCCTTACACACCACACCGAAATTATGCCCCATAAGAGACTGTATAAAATGCAAAACTGTAGCAATGCTAGCGCCACTACGGACAACTATGGAGTTCCAGTCCGTTGGTTGCAACTGAGCAAAACTCTTTTCACTATTTGGCAGCAACTTAGTGTAGATTACATTGAATTCCGTCGTGGCGCTAGCAGTGTGACAGTTTGGGCATAATTTAGGTACTTTACACACTAGGTGTGTGCGAAAAAGTAAAAATATTAGTTCGAAAGGTATTTATATGAAGGCTAAGCCATTGGACCATATTTCACCGAATTCAGTCATAATTCAGGCTATTATCACGCTCCATGATAAATCTGTGGAGGCAAACTTCATTTTTGAGCCGATTTATATGGAAAATCAATCATTGGAAAAGTCTAAGTTTAATATAAATTGGCACTGCAAAAAACTTCTTTATGTTAATTTGAATGACACGTTTTCTTTCTAATCTCAAATTTGATATCATACCAAGGGATTCAGCCATGATTTTCAAGAGAAATTTGAAACGATTCAGAGTTTTTGCATATATGTAAAATAGTTGAAATTACAAGAAAAATATAATGTGGTTGAACCTGTTCTCAATGGCTTTATTGTTGAAACTGTGAAATTATTTAATTTGATAATTTTCAAGCAAACTTAGAAACTAATAGTTGTCAGTTTGAGAATAGAAATAAATCATTCTCTTGAGAATCATTGAAGTACACAGACTATCAATTTACAACATTTATTGATTTATTTAAATCAATGATACGGAACTGCGAAAGGGAAACTCGAGAATTATTAATAGGGAAACGTACAGATATCGTTTCATGCGGCGATTCATTTTGAAACTAGCACTAGTGCAATGATTTAAAGAGACTTTATCAAATTTATGTTTTCACGTTAATAGTTGTATCTTATATGTATAATTCCAATTATTTTGTGAGAATCCACCGTTTGTTTGGTGATTAATGCAAAAATATCGATATCAAAGAATAAAGATATTTTATTGTTTTGGAGTTATCTTTTTCCCTAATTGCTAATTCCATCTGGTTATACTGCTTTTCTTTTGTCGTTACTGAGTTCACGTTTACCTTTTTCACACTATGTAAAAATAGATAGCACATTAGATCGAAAACAATTTCTATAAAAGAGTGGAAAAAACCAAATTCTTAACCCAAACCAGAGTTTGAAATAATGATTAGTTTTTTCAATTCATTTATTTGAAAATCAATTACCATTAGTTAATGTAAATTGAAATTTTCAATTTATTTTTTTCAATTCATTAAATTGAATTTTCAATTACCATTTACATTCAAATTGAGAAATGAATTGAAATTCATTTCAATTGCGTGAAGTTGCAGAGATTCTAGTTGGCTCCCATAATACTACTCTCGATTGTTTTCAATTTTTTACCGTCAATTCATTTATAATAACATTTTGAATGTAAATTAAAATGTATATATATTTAAAATTTAATATTAATATACAAATTAAAAAAATTAAAATTTGAAACTGTTTTCATTGCTGCGATTTCTTTTAAACTTATTGACACAGCAACGAGCAACCGTTATTGTTGAATGTGCGCATTCAAATATTAACCTCACTTTTGACATTAGCTATGCACAAATGCCGCATAAGGCATCAATCTCTGCAACTTCACGCAATTGAAATAAATTTCAATTCATTTATCAATTTGAATGTAAATGGTAATTGAAAATTCAATTCAATGAATTGAAAAAAATAAATTGAAAATTTCAATTTACATTAACTAATGGTAATTATAATTGAATGAATTGGCATTGAAAAATTCGAAACTCTGACCCAAACACGTGTGTTGTTTACCCCAATTTGGTGTATATTTTTTCGAAAGATATTTAAAATATGAAATTACATTCTCGATGGTATTTGAAAAAATGAATAAATTGAGATATATAGTCTGAGATAATTTAGTTAGAGCACAGCAAAACCCATCACTTTTGTATTTGGAGATAGAAATCAAGAATTGTAGAAATTTTCACAAAAAGTTTAATAATACGAACGAGAAGTATTGATTCCAATGAGAATTTCAAAATGAAAGTTTTAACGCTATTTTTATTGATTTTCTGCCTTTCAATGATCAATGTAAGCTAATTTCATTTACCAAATTTGCGAATTTATTCAGTACAGCTATGAAATGATTTCAGGCCAACGAAAGAGTGAATCAGATTAGAAACAGAGTAGAAGAGTGTTTGAAACGCACAAAAGGAGAAGTATTTGGCATTAGAGGTCACAAAATAACGCTATTGAATGAATGTCTTGGTTCCTCTGAAAGTGCCCTTATATGGAAAGGTAACCTCTCGAATCGCTTTTATATATAATCTAATGACCATTTATATGTTTCCTATGTCAGCCATTTATGATGGTGAAGTGGTTGCAATCAAATTTTTCATAGATGAAAGTATTATGAGACGGGAGCAGTCAGTTTATTTAGCCTTGAATGCAACACGTAATCCGAAAATTGAAGAAAAAGGAATCCCGAATCTGTATGCCAACGGAGAAATGTTTCGATGTGATCCATACATTGCAATGACACTTTTTGAAGAAAGTTTGCATAGCCGTTGGGAGTTCCAAAATAAGACTTTTGAGATATATAGCACTTTATACGTGTTTTTACAATCAGTATGCACCACAGACTTCAAACATTTTATAATAACGCAATACCTTCAATTTCTCCATGAAATTCAGGTTCGAACACTGAGCTATATTCATAACAAAGGAGTGGTGCATAATGACATTAAACCACAAAATATCTTTCTTCGTAAAAATGAGGTTTTTATAGGCGGTAAGTGGTTTCCCATATAAATTCAAAATTATGTATGTCTGCACTGCACTATTTTTGGAATTAGATTTTGATTGTGCTGCATTAAAGGGTGAAAGAC